TAAACTTCAGTTTCCTGGGGTTAGTCCATTTGTGTGCTCTGTCATGTCCTTTAGGAGTGGTTAAAATTTGTGACCTGAGATAATGTTTAATAAAGTATGTTCATGCATATAATATGTTGTGTGAAATATGCATGTATTTTGTGGAGCCTGATTGCTCGTGAGGCCTGATTGCTTATTGAGCCTCTGATTGCTCGTGAGGCCTGATTGTTGTGAGGCCTGATTTCCTATTCTCTAATCAGTAAAATTTGAGGGGACTTCCATCGGAGTTCTGGTTGGCGTTGGCCTTGGAGTAGTTAACACTCTAAGAATATCTCAGGAGTTATATGATGTGGTCCTTGAGCAATATCTCTGATGGATGTTCTTCGATTTGTGCCCAGTTGGTTGTTGGTTGTTGATTATTTGATTGATTGATTGTCTAATGGTATGATGTATTCTATGGATATTATTACTGTTTGCACATTTGAGTGAACCATTGGGTGGAGTGACTCTCCAGGACCCATGGTTTACTGAGATTGTCAAATCTCACCCCGCGTTATGGGGCATTGTTTTCAGGAGCCTCTAGTGCTGCTGAAGAAGCCTTAGGCAAAAAGCTCATCTAGTGTGGATACGAGCATATGGAGTATTTGACATGTACATATGAGTGTATGGGGATTACTTAGCATTTTGAGATATTGTTTTTATGCACTTGGTAGTTGTTTATTTTGTATCGTTGACTTAGTGCATGAACATTGGTCTTGTATGAGGTGTTGTGGACATGTTGGAGTTGTTCATGCTTTTATTTCTAAGTCATTTGGTTATTATGTTGATTATGTAATCGTTAAATTTAATAGTTGATGTAATGTAATTGTATTACTGGAGAACCTTGTTTATGTAAATATTGATGTATGTGATGGAAGGGCCTAAAGCCTATTATAGTTATTAATGTTGTTTAATTGTAACGTGACATTGTGTATAAAAAGTAATGAGATGAATTAATGTATATTGTGGACTGTAAGTGCACCAAGGTTTGTTGATCATTTGGATGCCACCCTTATGGTCAATTAGGTATCCCTTTTGAGTATTGGTACACACTTATATAAATTGGGTAAAAGTTATAAAAACAAAGGAAACTCTGCTAAAATTTTTGAAAAAACAGTGAGATTTTATCCTAACTTTGAGAGACCATAACTCTTTCCACAGAGGTCCAATTAAGGCGTACCATACCTTATTTACAATCTTAAGAGGTCTTCTATATTTTCATAAAATTTGGTATCATTTGGAGTTGTAGAGACTGCCCAGTTTGCGTTTGATTGGGAGCGGTTCATTTTGTGCTGTAAGTTGACAATACTGGTTCATGTTTTTGAAAATTTCATATCTCTCTGATAAACCTTTGGTTTACCATGTTTTTAGGCTAAATTATATGAGAAATATATCATACAATGCATGGAATTCAAGGTTTTAATATATTTAAGTCATAAGATAGGAAATTGAGCTGACATTTTGATAATAATTGCAATTTTGAAGGTAAAAACCACAAGAATTAGTGCTAAAAGTGCTAAACAAATCATGACGGAGAAGTAGCGGCTCAATATGGATCAAAGGAAACCAACATATTACAATTCAAGGTCCAGGAAAGCACGCTCAAACGCACAAGAGGACGCTCGAGCATTTGGAAGCAGGAAAAACAGTCAAACTGGGCACATCAGGGCGCTCAAGCGCACAGATGCACGCTCAAGCGCCCAAGAAGACATAATTTTGGACTCGAGGAGCACGCTCGAGCGCGCTCAGGCAGGCAACAACAGCAATTTTCAGCAATTCAGGGCGCTCAAGCGCCCTGTAGCGCGCTTGAGCGCCCAAACACGGACCTGACAGCAAAGATGCACCAAGATTTGCTGAGATTTAATGAAGATTTGTCCAATTATGATATGGAACTAAAGCGTAAACATATCAAAGCTGATTCAATATAAGATTGAAGGAAGATTATATAAGATTCAAAGCTCAAATCTCTCAACCAATCCACAAGATATTAATTGCAAAAAGGAAACAATTGGAGAATCAATTACAAATCTAATATGGATAAGGCAAGAGATGCAATGAAGGATACAACCTCCAATGGCTATAAATAAAGAAATTGGGGTCAGAACCAAGACAACAATTCACAATTCCAGAGCATTACACCAAGACGGAAGGAGGAATCCTGTTGCGGAGCGCTGGAACACTGAGGAACCAAGTTAACATCACATCAATGGAGGCTTGGGGTTCTCTTTTCTTTATTGTTATTTTTCAATTCAGTATGCTAGAGTAGTCTTTTATGTAGTTAAGGGTAGATGGAACTCAATTGAATCTTTATGTTTATGAATTAAATTGTCTCTGAATCCTGTTCTTTTTATAATTAAATAAATTATCTGTTTTTAATGCTTTCTATGAGTTTGTTCCTTATAGAATGATTTTGGGAAATTGTATGACAATAGGGATGTTGGTGCATGAACCTTGACTTGATAATTTATCATAATCCTTGTGATCTAGGAATAGGAATAGGAATAGGCACAGGGTAATTATGCAATCTTGTAATTCTTGATCTTAATGCATGTTTTCTTGGGGGAATAATCGGGGAACTAGAGTTCTTTCAAGATTACATAGATTTATGGTAACAAGGAATTGAGCTGTAATTAACTCAGATAGAATTGATTGGCAATATATTAAGAAACAGATTCTTGGCTTTTTAATTCATAACATATTGAGGATATTGGGGGAAGTCGAAACCTTAACAACGCTTGTTTTAAATCTTAATCAAACATCATCTCATTCATTCTTTTTATTTTGAATTTTCATAATTGCATGTTCTTAATTGTTTTTAATTTTAAGTTCTTTGAACAACAATTCTCTTCATCTAAATTCACCATTCTCTCAAACCAAACCTTTGATTGTCCAACTAAAACACAATTAGTGAACTAGTGCTTGAAATTCTGATCCTCGTGGGAACGATCTCGTACTCAGTACATTTTATTACTTTAGGACCGGTGCACTTGCCGAGTCGTATCACTCTCTCATTACTTACCTTAATTAGGCTTATGATATATCATACTGAAGCTTGAGGTGTCTCCTAAAATATATTAAAATTTGAGAAACAACAAACATCTAAAACGTCTGTAGTTTGAAAAATAGTGAGGTATGCTTATGTACCTAACAGTGCAGTTTTGACAGTTTTAAGGAAGTAACTTACGGTGAGCGTATCCGGAGTTGTAGAACTCCAAATGGGGGTCTGATAGGTTGGAAAGATAAAAGAGTGTATAATAACATATCAAAAGATGGAAATTTATGGCCAAGTAGTCCATGTGCAGTTTTGGAAAAACTGAATGTACCTTAAGTAGGTAAAACATCAAATTGTGTATTTGTGTTTCGTTGGTTTATGGGAATCACTTAGAAATTTTAAAATAGATGTTGTATGATGTTAAGCAATAATATTTATCGTTCTGTGATAGTTTTGAGTTGCAATAACATTTTTGGAAAATGTTTATTGCGAATGTTTTGTAAAAGTAAAGATTTTGTAAACGATAATAAAAAGAAAAAGTTTTACCGTAAATTTAAATTAACTGTTATGATTGTAACTGCACTTAATATTATAAACAATGTTAACAATATCGGTGTACAACGGGCTGTTATAATTGTATCTACGAGATAATGGTAGAGATGATTGGCAATGTATGGGCTAGCTTCTCTAGCCAAAACAATGAGCAATGATTAGGGGGTGTGTGAACACCTGAAAATAGTGAATTTAAAGACAATATTAGTTAGGCTCAGGATCATAATAGTTGAACCATTCTTGCATTGTCCTGGTCTTTTTTAGGGCACTGGGGACAGTTAAGGAGATAGAAAGCAATCCTAAACTAGAATCTTACAGGTAATGAGCATGAGTGAGATGATGGCGTTTAGGAGATCATGTGTTTACAGATTGGTGGGATAAAGCGGGCTTGACTGCCCGAACCGTATCTTGACGTTCCAAGTTGCTTATACCTCAGGTTTGACTCCCAAAACCCTAATCGAATATTCTTCTCGAATAATTTGTAATTTACTTGCTAGTTATTACAAAAATTCACGCTAAAGAACAAAATAAGCATTTGAAGTGGTTAATGAATTCAAATTCAATTCAAAAACTAAAATAAAAAAGTACTAATAAAAGAATAAATATTTTGAAATTTATAGGAAAAATGTAGAAATAAAAATATATTTATATTAGTTTTAGAGCATACTTGGTTATGCATTAACTAGGTTTAAATCCTAGTTCTGATGGTGAAAGTAAAATTCTGTTTTTAAGTCAAAATGTTTGGTAAAATTTAATATAAGCCGTAGTTATAATAAACACAATTTTAATCTCAAAATATGGTCTGAGTGAAAAATTGAAAAATTACTTTTTCGTTGTCATCAAATCATAATTTGTAAACCACGTACACAATAGCAATCAAGTGAAATAAGCCATAGATTTTAAGAAAAAAAACATTGTTAACAATATTATTTCTTAATTAAGTATTATGCGTGTAGATCTTATAAGGCACCAGGGAGGGATGGGTACCCATCCATCTTATTTCAAAGGAATAGGGACAGGTTAAAGGATCGTATATGCTCTAGCATTTGGGAGATGTGGCAGCAGCCTGAGCTCATATGATATGTCAATTCCATTCTATTGGTATTAATACTGAAGCAAGTAGACCCATTTATGATGAGTCAATTTTGACCAATCTCTCTTTGCTCAGTTACATACAAGTTACTTAGCAAGCTCCTACTGAATAGGCTCAAACCCATCATGGAGCGGCTCATATCTCCTTGTCAAGCGAGTTTTGTTCCAAAAAGGTAGATTCATGAAAATATCATAATTGTGTAGGTGTTAATTCACAATATGCACAAGATGCGTAGCAAGTGTATTTTCATGGCAATCTAGGTGCATTAGGAGAAATCTTAACTGGAATTTCTTAAAAAATATTTTTCAGGAAATTCTTCTTCCAGAGCACGTCTACGAAATTCTTATGGCTGCAGCTAGCTCTTCCTCCATCAATGTGTTGTGGAATGTCAGTCAAACGACATATTTTAATTTGTCTAAGGGTGTTCGACAAGGTGATCTATTGTCTCATTATCTTTTTAAGTTGGCAATGGAGAAACTAAGTCACATAAGGCTAAGAATCTTTGGCATCCAATCAAGGTAGGTAGAGGTGGCCCCCGAATCTCACATCTTATGTTTGCTGACGACTTCATGTTGTTTGTGGAAGCATCGATTTCCCATATGGATACAATGTTAAAATGCATTAACCTGTTCGAGGAGACATCATGCTTGAAATTAAGTATCTAAAAGACTAGTGTTTTCTTCTCAAAAAACACGTTAGAGCAGCTTGCTACAGTTATTACTGAGAGATGTGGCTTCAAGCGGGTGCACAATGTTGGGAGGTACTTGGGTGCTTGGATGATTCATGGTTGTGCAACTAAACAACACTATAAGCACATTCTAGACAAGATTAAATCAAAAAGGGGTGGCTTGCAGCAGTAGACGTTATCACAAGCAAATAGAATTACACTTTCCCAATTTGTTTTATCCTCGATTCCTTATTTTCATATGCAACACGACAAGCTCCCTACGACCATATGTAAGGACATTGAAAAGATTCAATTGAGATTTATTTGGGAGGACACAGTGACATCACATCAGCACTATGCGATTTGACGAGATACTTTTACTTTACCCAAGGAGTTTGGTGGGTTGGGCTTGAAGCATTTAAAACTAATGAATGATGCATTCCTCTTAAAGTTGGCGTGGAGGTTCCACAATTAAGCAATTGCGGGTAAATTTTTTGAAGGGGAAATACATGAGCAGAGGCATTAATGATGTTACTTTCATCGTGAGGGCTGGTTGTTCCTTGTTATGGTCAGCTTTCTCGTAGGTTTGGAAGTCTACAGAGAATAAAGTAATATGAGAGATAGGCAATGGTGCTTCGGTATCCTTTTTGAAGGATAGGTGGGCGATGGGCTTACAGCCTCTGCTTGATGGAATGATCAATCCAGTCCCAAAAGTTGAAGTTCTTAAGGCAGTACATGACTATGTGAACGCTAATGGGGAATGGCAGGTTGAACTATTGCGGTCTTGGCTACCTGAAATATTTTATAGCAGATTCAAGTTATCCACCACCTGTATTGGAGGAAGAGTTAGACCGTCAGATTGGGGAGGCTTGAAAATATGGCTCTGGTTAAAGTAAAAAAAAAAATTACCGAGTTCTTCTAGGGGCCACGACTGATGATGTTCACTTGCCTTGCCCGTTTTGGAGAAAGTTGTGGAGTTGGAAAGGCCCTTAGCGTATGAAAATTCTCCAATGGAAATTAGCCTATAGCAAGTTACCTACCAAAACATGTAGTGCTTATTGGTCTCATGGGATTCACAGTGCCCCATCTACAATGATCAGGTAGAAAATTTGATGTATGCTATTAGGGACTGCTTATCATCAAAAAGATATGGGTGGCTCTTTTCTGCCTTCAACACACAGGGAGATATTCTTTGGAGTGGAGTTACACGAGTGGCTTCAATGGGATTGAAATCATAAGGTGAAAGTTACACGTATGGTTCCTAGTTGGCTACTGGTTGACATGACATTGGCGCAATTCAGTTGCAAATAGCCAATCTTCTCCTCCTTCACTCAACTCACACTTGGTTGTGCTTGATTGTGCGCAGCAAGTGCGGGCTGCGTTTGCAAAAGACTCTTCTATTCCAATTCAATGTAACATTGTCTAGAGACTTCATCCGAAGGAATTTACAAAAATTTAATACAAATGATGCTTCCCGAGGCAATTCGGGAGCTGTTGCGAGTGGTTGAGTTTTACGAGATTCTAATGGCAACTGGAGAGGCGGGTATGCCTACAAGAGAATGCTTATTTAGTTTGGTATGCAGAATTGTGAGATGTTCTAAAAGGACTTCGCATAGCTTGAAATAAGGGTTTCTGAAAGTTTGTTATTGAAAGTGACTCTAGCTTTGTTATCACGTTGCTCACTAATCATAATGAGAAAGCTCGCATTGGTGTCTTGGATATGATTAATAATCAATCGCAATTGACAAGTTCACTTTATTTATATTTTGAGGGAGCTACTTGTTGCGTTGATTGGTTAACAAACATTCTGCTTGATCACCCGGATATGCATGAAGAATGTATTTTTTTCAAATCTGTCCCTGATTTTGTCTTGTATTTGCTTATGGGCTCCTCAACCACTTTTTGCCATAGGGTTAGTGGTTAATTTCTTTCTTAATTTTTAGAATTTCTTCATGTATAAAAAAAAAATATCATGCACATATGACTACCAGTACCACTAAAACAAAATATTGTAATTTTTAAAAATAAAAAGTGTATATTAGTATTTGCGACAGATGTTACATTATAGATATTTTTCCAATAAAGATACTAAATTTCAAATTCCAATGAGCATGTTCATAATCAGCGTAATGGTCGTCAAATCACATATTTTTCTTCTGTATTCTAGGTTAATTACATTTCAAATGTCCAATATATCGAAAATAATTTCGCTTTTGCAGTGGGGAAAAAGGAGAGGAAAGAAATTGCCATCGTTATTATCTTTATTTAAGAATAAACAATTGGCCGACAAGGACCTCGTAAACAGAGCTTCTTATCCTCTTGAAATCTTGCGCCAACGTTTTTTTCTTGACCGACTATCAGCTACGAAAAAAGTTATTTCAAAATAAGTTTATCTTTAAAATAAACTTATAAGTGTAAAAATTTAAATTAATTGAAATTTAAATTTTTAAACCAAACTAATATAAAATTGTTTACTTATCTATTTTAATAATAAATAAATTAAAAAAATATCATGCATCACACCAACTACAACTACAAACAACTTCAACTCGTCTCGTCTCAAATTATTCGGTTGAAAAGGGTACACACTTAAGCTGACAGATTGTATTGGACAGTGGCTATTGTCATTATGTGTTTAGTGTTATATTTTTTAATTAAACATTAATTTTTAAAAAGTTACATAAATATTAATTTTAAAAAAATGACAATATACATACTTTTATAACATGGATAATTCATTTTTATGTTTATGTAAACAAAAGATAATATTAATATACAATTACACATACATTATTTTATATTTATGTAATTTTAGGTATAATTAGTTTTATTTCATTTACCATTTTTTTTTGGTAAACATTTCATGTACCACTTAACTCAAGCAAATGTTTATCATTATATAGGTTTTGGTAGAAATTTATTTTTAAAAAATCAAATACAACTTATTTTTAAATTTCAAATATATCAAATATTTTAAATTTAATTAAATAATATTTCTTTTAATTTAATCGCTCAAAAATATTTAAATTCACTCGATAACCAAACTCTTATTATATTGATTTGTATAAATCTCTAACCTCAGTTTTAACAATGATAAGAGTTAAATATAACTAGTTATATGTACTAAAAAAAATAAAATACATAACTAGTTCTCTGATCAAGTCCCTCTGTTTAGTTCACCAGAATCACCACTAGCGAATCCTGTCTGTGGTTTCAGACCATCTTTTCAAAATTTATTAAAAGGACAAAAATTACACAGAAAAAAGTAATCCTTCTCTTCTTAGCTGTTATGTCAATATTGCCCTTTACAAACAGCGAAGACAGTAGTACAAAAACGGTACCTTTAAACGCACAGAGAAAGGGCAATCCAGTCACTCAAAAAGGTACACACAAAAATAAAATAAAATAATTCTTACCACACAGAGTTCACAGTTCTCAGTCACTGTCTATAAATTAAACACACACAGTCTTCAACAACTCATCAAAGTCTCAACCAAAGAGCATACTCAATATTAATAATGAATATGGTTCTCTCTCTTTCACTCTCTTTATTCTCATTCCTTGTTCTCACCTTCTCCACACCCACACAGGCTCTCATACTAACCGTTGTAAACAACTGCAACTACACCGTCTGGCCCGCTATTCAAGCCAACGCCGGCCTGCCAGTCCTTGCCGGCGGCGGCTTCGTCCTCCACACCCTAACCCATTTCTCCATCCCCTTCCCAGACACCCATTGGTCGGGCCGGGTCTGGGCCCGAACCGGCTGCGCCTACACCGCCGGAAACCAGTTCTCCTGCGTCACCGGCGACTGCGGCGGTCGCTTGCAGTGCAACGGCGCCGGCGGTCTAGCCCCTGCCACGCTGGCACAGTTCGAGGTGCACCACGGTAACAACGACTTCTCCTCGTACGGTGTAAGCCTCGTGGACGGTTTCAACGTTCCCATGACGGTTACGCCACACGAGGGAAAAGGTGTGTGCCCTGTGGTGGGTTGTCGCACTGATCTTGTCGCCACGTGTCCACCTCCGTTGCAGCACCGTGTACCCATGGGTCACGGCCCTGTGGTGGCGTGTAAGAGTGGGTGCGAGGCTTTTCACACGGATGAGCTTTGCTGTAGGAACCAATACAATAACCCTCAAACGTGTAAGGGCTCCGTGTACTCCACGTTCTTCAAGCACGCGTGTCCTGCAACGTTCACCTTCGCACACGACACCCCTTCGCTCATGCATCAGTGTTCCTCTCCGCGTGAGCTCAAAGTTATCTTTTGCCATTGAAACGTGCAAGGCTGTTAAATGAAAAGAGTGTGCGCGCGCGTGTATGTCAGGATTTGGGTCACTGTTTAGTGACCTAGTTCTGCTTGTTCAAATAAGAATGGGTGAAAAAAATTTGGTTTAAAACAAAAAAACGTGCTTTAAATTTTGTCTTTGTAGCGATGGTTGTGTTGTGGGATTTATTAGAGTAAAATGACATATTATTGTAACCTGCATATGCTTAAGATTTCAGCTCAATTATCTGCATTTTCAAAATTCTCTGTCATTATAACTTTGCCTGTTGCTAGCCTGAGAGTGTAGGACTATATCTGACTATGAAAGGGACTAGATCACCTCGTTGGCTCGTATTTCGAATATTCGTTTCTTTTTATTAATTGAGTGCTGTACTGTGCGTGTCACGTGTTTGCTTCAACCCTATTGCTGTGCTTTTGATTAATCCAAGAAATTTATTTTTGGGGATAGTTTATTATTTTTTACCTTGATATGGCAAAATTTTAAACGCGAAGAGGAGATATTTACCGGTTTTCTTTTTGAAATTGTAATCCTTTTTGTTTTGTTACCTTACTTGGAAGGGCTTGACCGTTTGATTGGAGAGACATCCTGTCTCACAACCTGTGTACTCGTCTTTTTTTTTTTTTTTTTTTTGACAAATGTCATATTTAAATAACTTTTTTATTTTTTATTCCAATCTTTTATCTCAATTCATTTGTATTCGTATCGTGTGTTAGCATCTAAAAGTACATTGAAAAATGTGCTAATAACTTAGTTTTAAATATTTAGGAACTTTGAGTGTAGTGTGTAGCAACTTTACAGAAAGCAAAATTTGATTTTATACTTTTTGTTACGGTGAATTGATTTCATACTTAGTTGCCCATGTATTTTTATTAGCTCGGTTAAAAGTACTACTAACAAGAACTTTAACAAAAGGGTTATACATAAAGAACTTTATCAAAAGTGTCCTGAAAATATTGCTCTTAGTACCCGTGGGAATAGCTCGTATTGTGAAAGTTCTTTACTTTTTCTGTGCATCAGATGTAACGTACATTTGTGCAAAAAAGGTTAAAATTTGAGATTTGATGAAAAATATTTGAAAAAATATAGAATTAAATCGTAATTTTTTTTTTTGAAAAAAAAAATATACCCAGTTAAATACATTTGTACAGAAGAAATTTAGTTATTGTATGATTTACGGAGGTTAAGAGCGTCTCCTACCTGATATTGCACTGAACCACTGGTTAATTATTGAACTCTTAACAAATAATATAAATTATTGGTTCTAATGCATTAAGAATCACTCGGCAATTAATACACAATATAAAACGAATACAAGGTTGAATGTTACTGCAATAATTAATGATTCGCCGTAATACTCATCAGATTTCATGCTCTATAATAAAGATAAAGAATGAGACGACGATAAGGACTTCTAGATTGTTTTTCTTTCCTATTTTTCGAGGGCTTGGTCTGTTATTTTCCTCAATACACCAAAAATCTTTACACGAAAATTACAAAAAATAATAAAAAATCTTTACACGGAAATATAAGTATAAAATTCTTGTAAAGCGGCTCTTAGTTTAACTTAAAGCTGTCAAAATGGGCCACCCCAACCCATTTAGCCCTAGTCCAAGTGGATTAGGGCCAAAAAGCCCACAATGATACAGATTCAAACGAGCCAAAGTCCTATGGGTTAGGGCCAGCTCGCGGGCCTTCTAAATTTTTTATGTATTTTTTACACTACTAAAAAATATCATATTTTTTACAAAAAATCTACGTTGCAAACAACAAAAAATTTCGTCAATTTTTTTTTTTCGTTTGAATACCTTTCATTGAAAGGTGACGCAATTTTTATCCGATGAAATTTTTTACAAAAATAAATTTTTGTCAAAATTTTTCACCGAATTTAGTTTCCGTCAAAAGTTTTGACGAACACAATTTTAAATATTTTAGAAAAAAAAATTCCACCAAAAGTTTTGACGTAAAAAAGAATTCCGTCAAAAATATTGACGAAATATTTTCCGTCCAAAATTTCCGATGAAAATGTGTCCCGATGCAAATTTCGAGAGAAATATTTTTTTCAAAAATTTTGACGGAAATGTTTTTATGAAACTTTCGACGAAATTTAGATTCCGTAAAGAATTTTGATGAAATATTTTTTTCGTCGAATTTTTTTACAGAAATAATTTCCGTCAATTTTGACGGAAATGTGTTTTGTTGAAAATTTTGATAGAAATATTTTTTATCAAAAAATTTGTAGAAAATATTTTTGGTCAAAAATTTTCGATGCAAATGTGTTTCGTAGAAAATTTTGACGAAATTTTTTTTCGTCAAAAAATATGACGAAGATATTTTCATCGAAAACTTTTAACGAAATTTAGATTCATAAAGAATTTTGACGAATTTTTTTTTCGTCAAAATTTGTTCAAAATTTTTTTTCGTCAAAACTTTGTACAAAAAAATTTCAATGGAAATATGTTTCGTTAAAAATTTAAAGAAAAAACTTTTTCGTCAAACTTTTTGAAAAATATGTTTTTTTGTCAAATATTTTGACGAAATTTAGATTTTACAAAGAATTTTGACGAAAAAAATTTATGTCAACAATTTTTACAAAAATATTTTTCGTCACAAGTTTTTACGGAAATATTTTTCGTCGAAAATTTTTATTTGAAATGTGTTTCGTTTAAAATTTTGATAGAAATATTTTCCATAAAAAAAATTGGCGAAAATGTTTTTCGACAATATTTTTACAGAATTGTTTTCTATTGAAAATTTTCGACAGAATTATTTTTCCTTGAAAAATTTGACGAAAATATTTCTTTTGAAAGTTTCAACGGAATTTAGATTCTATCAAGAATTTTGACTGAATTTTTTTCTGAAAAAATTTATGTCACTTGTTTCGTCTCTATTCTTGACGTAATGTGATTTTTGTTAATAATTTCGTCACTATTTTCGACGAAATATTTTTCATCGATAAATTCTGTCAGTATTTGACACTTTTGTAATAATGTCACATTTAAAAATGATTCATATTTATGTAATTTTCATATTTTAATGCTAAGGATAGATATGACACATTTAAAAATGATTCATATTTATGTAAATTGGGTTGAATATTGTAGCCCGCGGGCTAACCCCAGCCTAACCCTATAATGAGAGGGTTTTAAGAGGATGGGGTTAAAATGGCCCTATTACTTTGAGAGTTAAAATTTTATAGGGTTTAACATTGAGCTAAATGGGCTGGCCCTAGGGCTTGAGCCCTTTTTGACAGTTGTTAATGACTAATATTCTTCGTCGTTCAATTAAGTTGATTAACTTCGAGATCAGTGGCGGACCCAGGAATTTTTCTTGTGGGGGCAAAAAAATTAAACATTTGTTTCTCTCTTCAAACATAATATATGAGAGGCCAAAATACAAAAAATTAAATATTGGTTCCTCTATCCAACCACAATATGTGGGAGGCCGAAACACCAATTCAGAGAACATAACTCATAAATACCTTTTTTAACTTGTTAGAGAGAGAAAGAGGGAGACAGAGAGAGTGATGGAAGATGTCACATCAAAATCTACTATCAATTTGAAAAAAATTACACTTTTTCAACCTCTAAAATAAACATTTTTTATGCAAAGAAAAAGATAAGAGAGCAAAAATTTAGATTTCACAAAAAATATGTACTAATTACTATAATATAAATAAGAAATACAATCAGAGTTAGAGAGATTTCAATAATATAGGAACTGAGAATATAAAGAAGCTCTATAGACTCTCTTGGAGAGAGAAAACTACTTCACATTAATTGAGAGAAAAAATGAAGCACTACAAAAAAAAAAGTTTATTTGTGACGAGAAAATTTTGTTATAAATTTTGTCACAAATGATAATTTTTGACACAAATAATTAAATTTCGTCACAAATAAAATTGTGACATAAAAATTTGTGACGAAATTTACTTGCGACGTAAGAATTTGTGACAAAATTTCATAAAATTTTGTCACTAATAAATTTTTTTCTTGTAGTGAAGGTTTCTTGCATTATACTTATGTTAAAAAACTTCTTCAAATTTTGAGGGGGGCGGCCGCCCACCCTAGCACCCCTTCGGTCTGCCCCTACTCGCGATGGATGAGATTGTTAAGTGGTATATATATTTATTAACTTACTATACTAAATATAAATATGCTTTGATAATAATATTTGATTTTCTACAACATACATATATAAAATATGAGATTTGTTTTTCTCATGTAATAGAAGAAAAAAAAATCTCACCAAAAAGAAAAAAGAAAAAAAATTCTTCCTACATATATCCTAAAAAGATGTGCCAATTTTTTTTTAAATAGGTGGATCCTATACTTATTGTATTTATGACATCAGATTCCTATAAAATATATTATAAAACATAAACTTTATTCAAGTTGAAACCACAGCCAAAAATAATAATAAAATAAAAAATCATGTTGTTTATATATAGAGAGAGATATGATAACTTACACCCATGTAAGAAACGCGCTTTAATACGATTATTAAATATTTGATCAACTACATAATTATTTTTTTTATATTTATTTCAAGTCTTAATTCACTTTAATTTTCAACATACTAATTCATAATTATGTAGTTGAATTTACACATATTCAAGGGTTTTCATCCCCAGTTCACCAAAAATTTTTTTATAAATAAACCCTCTAATGTTGAATTGTTTTATTACAGAGTAAATTTTTTATATGTATACTCTTTTTACAAACATTCATAAATTTTGATAAAATTCTATTTATTTAATATTACAAAATAAATATAAATAACAAAATTTCACTTTATCTTATTATATAAAATATCATGGTTATACAAAAAAAAAAATATCATGAAGTGAAAATATGTCGAAACTTCGTACTTCAGTTACAAGTTTTCCTTTAGTACGTCCTAGTACACACAATCAATTAATCTATATCCCACTCCAATAAGTCTTGTTTTACTATTTTCTCTTAGGTAAGTTTCGGCTGACTTTTTCCTTTCTTTTCGTTAAGCTCTTGGTAACAAACATTTGTTCTTATAGGAGCATCTAGTGGTCTTCGTATTATGTGCTCAAACTATCTCAGTCTTTGTTTTTACATCTTTTTAAC